CTAAGCCATCTCGAACGCGAAGCATTGGGACATGGGGGAGGGGAAGTATACTCTTCGCGAACGTAGCAAGTGGCTCGCGAACGCGTAGGCTTGTGGGACTAAGCCTTCGCGAACGCATAGGCTAATAGAGCCTAGCTTCGCGATCGCGACAAGCCCTTCGTAAACGAAAAGAAGGCATGTCCAGTGATTTTAAAACAGACCCAAAAACGGGACTTCTTCAAAATTTCATATCTCTTTCATTAGAACTCAGCCTAGGGCGATTTTTGAAGGGGGAATTCAACACCAAATCATAGGTTTGTACTCTTTAACTCATTTCCTTCAATTTTCATCATCACCCATTAGATTTCTATCTATAAATCTTGTTCTTTCATGGTAGAATTAGGGATTTTTGGAAGAATTGGGGGTTATTCCAAATTGGGAATTTATACCTCGATTTGGGTCGGATTCCGGAACTAATTACATATTCGGGCTTGGGGTGAATGGATGAATGGATTTTGGTCCGAACCTCGAGTTTTGACAAAGCGGGCTTGGGGTCGATTTTTGACTTTTTGGGGGAAATGCTGGGAAACCTAAATTTATGTATTGAAATTGATTCCTTTAGCAAGAGTTAATGTTATTAAGTTTATTATGGCTAGATACGAGTGGTTTGGAGGTGGAATCTAGAGAAAAATCGGTAATTAAGCAGTGAGTGGCATGTGGATTGAGGTAAGTGTTTCTCTACATTTGACTCGAGGGATTAGGAATTATTGACTTAATTGCTATGTGAAAATCTATGTGAGCGGTGTATAGCTGAGGTGACGAGTACCTATGCGCCGCCAGTTTATGTGTTTTACCTGTTTTCTTCCCGTTCTTATTATATTGTCTTCATTGCCTTAACTGTTACATGCCTTACCGGTATTTCCATGTTTAATTGCTACTTGTCAGATATTATTTTTCGTTGTTGAAAGTATTAGATACCCCGTAGTTTCACTGTCTCATGTTATTGGCTTAACCTGGTTTATCGGTATTTTATGGTATATTTTGGATTGGTTTCACTGAGTAGTATTATTTGTGTGAAGTTTCATAATGTACAAGCTTTCCATTTTCTTTGGTTTGAGGTTTAAATATTTTGGAGAGTTTTGAGTTAAACTGTGAAATTTCTATTCGTATTGTGTAATTGGTACAGATGTGGTGGGATCCGGTTGCGCGTCGCAACAGGAGGAATAAGGGTGATATATTGAGGAGGAATAAGGGTGAATTTTTATTATACGGTGGGATTGAGTTGCACGCCACAACAGAAGGAATAAGGGTGGATTGATATGGAGTAATAAGGGTGAATATTCACATTGATATTGCTTATATGGTGGGATCGGATGCGCGCCACATCAGTTTATGTGTTTATGTAACTTTCTTCTGCTGTGTAAGATATTTTGTGGTTTTGCATTTCACATAGGGATTGGTTATAGCTGGATACTGAAAAGATACATGAGTTCTGTATTCATTCCTTGCAAGTTACTGTTTACTTTGTTCCGTACTTCTTTCTGCTTTTATTATACACTGTATGCAGGTTATATTGTAATTTTCCCCGCCGTAGCACTACCTCGACGAGGTTAGGCTCGGCACTTACCAGTACATGGGGTCGATTGTACTGATACTGCACTTTCTGTGCAGATTTTGGAGCAGATAGTGGCTGATTAAGAGATTGGCTTCAGGTTACACAGTTTGGAGACCCAAGGTAGTCCTGCTGGCGTCGGCAGGCCCTGGTGTCCCCTTCTACATCTCTATATTACTGGTTTTTCTTTGTCTCCAAAATAGTTGTAAATTTCTTTCAGACTGATGTTTGTAGAAAAATCATAGTGTGTTCATGGATTGTGACACCGGATTCTGGATAGTAATAGCAATGGTATTGGTAATAGTATATAGACAAAAAGATTATTTACTTACTTCCGCATTTATTTCTACTTGTTTTAGCTTGTACATTTTTAATTAATGAAACATAAAGGAAAATAGTTAATAAACTCTAACGTTGGCTTGCCTAGCGAGTGTGATGTTAGGCGTCATCACGATATCAAAGGTGGGAATTTCAGGTCGTGACTTTATCAGAGACTCTCGGTCTACTTGTGTTTATACTTCTGCATAGTTCAGATTATTAATTCATTTAAAATTCTTATATGTATTCTCTTCATTTTTACATGCGTTCAACTATGAGTTGGTAAAAAAGAAACACATATTCATCGATCAAATCATGATATTTACTGCATATTTGATATAGATCTTTTCATAACTGATTAATTGGGTGACCCTTTCGCTCTTCCACTGAAATACTTTGAAGGTTGCTCCAAGTAATCCTTTGTCTTATAAAAATAGTAGAAAAATGATACTGTATAGCCACTGAAAAATTAATAGCCGAAAAAAAAAAAAAAATATAT